AATCTTGGCCCTCTCCAGGGAATGGGTCTCCCCTCTGTGGAACTGCCAATCTGCCCTGTCCTGCTGAGTCACCAGGATGCTTTCCTTGGAAAGAAGGAAATGGCAGTTTCCAGAACGACTTCTGTGACCCTGTTTGGTATTTGTTGTTTCTGTTACACTGAGCACCGAACCCAGAGAATGGTCTGACATACAAACACTCTGCAGGAAGCCTCCCTGAAACAATGCAGTGCTAACAACTGTTTTCCAAGAAAGAGGGCTCCCTTTCCTCCTATTCATCCTGCCTACCAGCTCCATGGGAAGTTCCCTCCTGGTCTGGGAGGCTGGTGTTCCCCTTCACGAGGCTGCCTGGCACAAGGCCTGGGGATGCAGATGTCATAGACTGAGTCAGACTAGGAGTGTGGGGAGACCAGTGCCAGTAAATGATCACTCTGGATGCCAGCAGCTCTGCCCTTCGCTCTTCCCATCCCTCTGGGAGCCCTGCCTGGGATGCTTTCCATGCCATCCCATCTCACCTGAAGCGTCCCTCCCTGAACAGCATTGAGATATTTTAGCAGCAACACTCCTCGAGTGGGTGCAAAGCCAGGGAGACTTTCTCCTGTGCAGCCCCCAGAGCTGGTGGGATTCCTCAGGCTGATCTAAAGCTGAGGATTCTCTGTGGCTCAGCATCGTCTGAGCATTTCTGATGGACCTGGGCATGGGTATTTCCTCCTTCTCTTCAGCCGGTTCCTCCCTGCCCCACAGCTCCAGGGGGAGCAGGAATTGCCGTGTTCTCCCTTCCCTCCTTAACAGCTGAGGGTTTGCCTATGCAGAATGGAGGAGATGTAAGGTTATGACATCATCTCTGTTTCTGGACAAAGCCTCGTGAAAATGGATAATGAAAATAATTCCTTTTAATTTCTAAGGGGGAACTGGAGGAACAATTTTCCAAAGCCCCTTTTAAACGAAAAGGTTTATTTCAAAGAAGCAGGGATTTTAATGACTTTCAAAAAGCCATTTTCTTTGAGAAGAGCAGCCCTTTTGCTGGTTCCACCTGTCTCTGGGCAGGGCAAGAGGAGCTGAGCTCAGCAGGGCAGCAGCCACGTGTCCATGGGGAGCACTGGCACCAGTGCCAATAATCCCCTGCCAGCCTGCTGCCATGAAAAACAGTGATTTAAAAACTACTAACACAGGAATTAGGCTTAAGTTATGCTGTTTTGCTTAGTTTCTCATGCAACCGCTTAGCACTGGAAAAGCCTTTCTAAGTTTCATCCTTCATCTCTGTTGCTGAGCCCCAAAGGAGGTAGGATGGAGCCAGGGACATTTCTTTGTGGAAGAATGGCATGTTGGTGGCATTTAAGCCAGAACAGAAGTAAATTAAACATCTAGATCATAAAAGTACCAGAGGATGGTTTAAAACAGGCTCTTTGCAGCAGTGCATTAGTTGACTGTACAGCCTGACTGCGTAATGAGCAATATATTAATTTATAATTAGTGTAATACAGTGAAGCTCAGCAAATAGCTCTGTGCACTCTGGATAATTCATCAGCAGAAGAAGCAGCTCTTAATGGTTTCCAAGGTTTGCCTGTCCCCTGTAATTGGGAAGTTCGGAATTTATTGTTATTTCTTTGAAGGGATAATTTGATTGCAGCCACACATCTTTATTCCCCGTCTGCTCCTGCAGGAGTGCAGAGAGGCCTTTGGAGCGTTGCTGCTCCGGGTACTGTGTGACCTCTCTGCAGGTAAGAGCCTCAGTGTTTTGCAGAGCAGATGACCTGGATTTGGTGCAGATTCCCGGAGGGTTTTACCCTCTGTGCTCTCCCTGCTGCAGAGCAGAGGGAGGGCGGCACGTTAACCTGCTTGGATCACTTGACTTTTCCCCCTCTGCTGCTTCAGAATCTTCCATACCCCTTTGCACATCTCCCAGGGGATCTTCGTTCTTAATTCTGCTCTCAAATTCCCCAGGAGCTCCTGGTGTCATATAGCATCACCTGACAGTAGAAATACAGAAGGACAATAATAAGTGTGTGATAAAAAGCCTATTCAGAATTCATGGAGCCTTTGGGGAACTTATTTTTCAGCTGGGGAGCTCAGACACACATCTTGGAGGATGAAAGGAGCAGGACTGCTCCCTGCCTGGGCAGCAGTGCCAGGGCTCCTGGGAGATCCTCCCCTCCTGGACTGCCGTGCTGGCAGGCTGGGAATCTGCACTGAAATTTCCTGTTGTCAGCAGAGTCTTCTGAAAAGGGAACAAAATCCCTCCGAGCTGGGTGCTTGGTGCTCAGACAGCCTGGAGGCACCAGGGCCTCCTCAGAGGAAGGGGGTAAATAAATGTGAATCTGAATTCAGAGCCCCACTGAGAAGAGGGTGTGATAAATCTTCCCCAGGAATAAAATGTCAGTTCTGATTTTTCCTGCTTTAATAAAGTAATTTGGATGCCTCTGCCTATTAGCAGCTGCAGATAAGTTGATTGCACTGAGGATTTGAAGTCTTCTGGCATGTCCATCTGCTTTTGCATAACCATCTGCCCCAAACACTTGGCTTGTACCCCAATCCCCAAACTATGAGTTTTCTTCTTCATCTGGAAGGCACAGAAAGGTTCCAGGCATGTGACAGACACCTGTTCTAAGGGGAGATGATTTCTCTCCTGGGAGCAGGATTCATCACTAAGGATTCATCAGGGTTCATTGCTAAGATTTTCTAGTGAAGTCTCTTTCCTTACCAAACTTATCTTTTTACAGTTGCTAAAAACTTGGGTCCCTCCATCCTTGAAATCACAGGCAGAGAAGAGAGTGAGGCTGAAGGCTGCTCCTGGACACTCTGTAGGAAGTCAGGATGATGAGGATGAGGGGGAATTACTGTGTTTACTTCCAGCAGCATTTAAATTAAACCAGTTTTACTGAAGTCTTAATTCTTCCCCTGCATTTAAATGCTGTGATCTGGAAAGCAGCAAGTTTGTATTTCTGTATCACTGCATCAATAAAGAGCTGGAGTTTTGTAGGCTTCCTTAATAAATAATCTGGGCTAATTTAATTGGAATTTGGCTGGTGTGAAAAATAGTTTTGATTGCGTTTGCTCTTGATCATTCCACTAAAACTTTGTGATGTGAAAGTAGCATGTTTGTATTTACTTATCACAGCACTAGAGACCTGAATTGGCAGCCTCTCGATCAAATTACCTGATGAATATAAACAGCAGATTTAATTTAGTTTCATATTGATTTTTGTCATTATTATTAAAACCCTCTGATCTGAAAAATGAGATGCTTGTATTTCCTTAATATCTTATTACTGGGGCTTGGGTTAATCTTGTAGAGCTTTTCCTTTTTTCTTTTGAGCAACCAAGTCTAACTAATTGGAATTTAACATATGGCAATTTTGACTCTATAAAAGGGAAAAAAGGAACTTGGTTTCTTTAGATAAAACAGCAAAGAAGCCTAATCTTGTAGCGGGCTGGGGTCCTCTCCCCTGGATCCCTGTGTGCATTTGGGGGTGATTATTTCCCTAGGGAAGAGGTCAAAGCTGTGGGTCTCCCAGGGGCTGGTGGGGCATGCCTGGGCGTCTGCCTGGGCATGGGATGGCAGTGCCAGGAGTGGGACAATGCCCAGGGGAGGCTGCCAGGGGCCCAACCATGGTCTGGGCTCTCAGCAGAGCCCTTTCCAAGGGCTGCTTTCCTGGGGAGGGAGCAGGGGGGGGTGCACAAAGGCTTCGTGGATCCCATGGGAAGCAAATGGCCGGGAGATTTGCAAACTGCCCATGTGTGGTTTGTCTGAACAGCTGCCGTTGTTGATCTGTAACTCAGATTGGCCTTGGAAATCATTCCGTGCTTCCAGCTGAGTGGTGGGTTGGAAGGTCCAGGAGGAAACGGTGAGCTGTCTTCAGAAACCAAAGGCTTTCATGATGTGCAAATGGGCTTGAACGAAGCAAAGAAAATGAGTGCATGTAACTCCAGCCTCTGTCTCAGCTGTGCTGAGGCTGCAGGTCTAACTCCTGGCAGCGACTGTGAAAATTCAACCTTTGCTCTTGCTGTTTGTTGGTGTTTTAAAGCCCTGTTGCTGCCTGTTGTGGTGGGAGCAGTGTGAGCTGTGTCCTGGGGGGCACCAGGAGGGGTTTGCTGGGCCAGCCTGGAGCTGCTCTGGGGATAGAACTGGCCCAGGCTGGTGTTGGGGTCCCCAGTGTCAGAGCGAGTCTCCTGCAGAGCCAGAGCCAGGTATTTTTAGCAGTCCTTGGTTCCAGCAAAGCTGAGAGTTTTGGTGGGTTGGCACCAAACCTAGGCTACCCCTTTGAGGAGGAGAAAGCTGCAGGAGTGGGTCCATCTGTTCATCTGTCCATCTGTCCATCCATCCCCACACCATTCAATACCCCTCTAATTTTTGGGTAAATGAGCTCTGACCAGGCTCATGCTTTCAGAGTGCCACAGCAGCAGGGCCAGCGGTCAGTCTGTCTGTCTGTCTGTCTGTCAGTCCGTCCGACCCTCTGTCCATCCCCACACCACACCGTGCCCCTCGTTGCTCGCAGGACCACCATCACCCCGTGGTTTTGGGGGGTTTTTTTGGTGTTTGGGTTTTTTTTGTTTTGTTTTGGTTTGGTTTTTTTTTTTGGTCGGGCTAAATAATTTTTTCCGGTAATTTCTCTCTCTCTCTCTCTCTCTCTCTCTCTGCCCGTTCCTCCCCTCCCCGGCCGCCTTGACGGGCACCGGGGCTGACCGGGGCGGGGCAGCGCCCTGGCGGGCGGGGGCGGCGGCGGCGGCGGCGGGAGGGCTCGGAGCGCAGCCGGTGCCGGTGCCAGCCCGGGCATCGCAGGGCCGGTCCCGGGGGCGGCGGCAGCAGCCGGTGCCGGTGCCAGGCGGGGATCGCGGGGCCGGTCCCGGGGCGGCGGCGGCAGCAGCAGGCGGCGCTGCGCCCCTTCTCGCCGGCACCGGGGCCGCCGGGCTCCGCTCGGCTCCGCGCCCGCCGCCCCCGCCCAGCCCCGCACCGCCCCGCACCGCCGCCGCCGCCGCCGCCCGGCGATGCCCGCGGCCCCCGGGCGCACCGGCCCGCGGAGGCGGCGCTGACCCGGCCCAGCGGAGCGGCTCCCCCGGGCCATGGGCAGCGGCGACCCCGGCCCGCACCGAGGGCAGCACCGGCAGGTACGTGCGGAAAGTTTGGGGAAGGGGAGCGCGAAGGGACCCCCGGGGCGGCTCCCGCCGCGCCGCCCAGCGCCGTCGGGGCCCCGCGCCCCGGCCCGGGGAGGCTCCGAGGGGACGCTGAGCTCCGGAGAGGGAGCCGAGGTCGGGGGAGCCGCCGGGATCGGTGTTACCAGCGGGCAGCGGCGGCACCGGGATGCCGGTCCAGGGCTCCCGGCTCGGCCCGGCCGCCTCACGTCGCTGCCCGGTCCCCGCGTGTCCCGGTCCCGTGTCACCTCCCGGGGCTCCCCGGAGCCGGTGCGGGGCTCAGGAGGGTCCCCGCGGTGAGTTTCTCGCGGCCGGCGCTGCCCTGAACCCTGAGCTCCGTTCTCGGTGGCTCCGGCAGCAGCGGCGCCCCCGGTCCCTGCCCGCCCTGTGGCGGGGGATCTGCCACGAGTGGGCTCGGACCTGGCGGGGCCCGGTCCGGCCACCGGCTGCGGGGGTGGGCTCTGGCCAGGGGGGCTGTTTGCCCTGGTGGAACGATTCTGCCAGCCCTGAGAAGCCACTCTCCGTTCTGAGAGGCAAAACACCGCTGGGGAGACCCCCGGGTTCTGCAGCCAAAGATGCTCCTTCTCCCTGGAAGGGGCCGTGAATCCCAACCACTGCTGCCTGCGGTGCAAGCTGTCCCTGCAGCCAAAGCCTCGGGCAGAACAGGATGGGATGGTGACTTCCATCTTTCTCTGCTTCCTTCCTCTCTGCCATAGCTCCTCTAGACAGGATGGGTTTGCCTCTGTCCAATGCCAGGCTGGAGTGGGGAAGGGGCTCTGGGGTCCTGCTGCCTCGTGGGGTGGCTCGAGGGGCACAGGATGGGCACAGGCCAGGTGTCCCCCTCACCCACGAGTGGAGGCTCAGTGGCCCAGAGGAAGGTGTGAGCTGTGCCAGTGCCATTCTGGAGTGGGGCAGGAGTTCGTCCATGCTGTGGTGCCAGGCAGGGAAGCAGGAGTCTCCTCCTCCTGCCCAGTAACCATCCCTTTTGCTGCAGTGCCAGGCCTGGGGAGCTGTTCAGTGTGTGGGTGCTCTTGCCCTGAGAGAGCTGATCTGTGCTGGGGCACCCACACCCCGGAAAGGAGCCTGCACAGGTGAAACGTTGTATCTCCTGGGGAACAATCCTGGCACTGGATGAAGCAGAGGTTCTGGCTGTCGGCAGAGCTGACCTTCAAGGTGCCAGTGGCAGTGGGGTGGTGGGATCCACCAAGTGAGGGAGCAGGAACAGGCCCATGCCTTGATGGAATTGAAAAGTCTTCCGCTCACCTTGGCTGGGAAAGAAATGCTGCAGACGCTGGAGGAATGAGCAAGAAGCTGGAAATAAATCAGCGTGGAGAAGAGGATGAGGGAGCACACTTGGGGGAAGGAGTCTTCTGCATCTCTTTGTGCTCCCCTGCCACCTCTTTGCCTGGTCAGAGAGCACATGCTTCTTGGTGCCCTCACAAACACATCTGTGGGGCTGGACTGCTGTCAGTGTGAGCTAAAATGAAGTGTGCAAAAGGACTTGGCTCAACCTGGAGCTCTGGGGCTGGGCCAGGCTCCCCTGCAGTGGGGTTTTCCTTTTGGGGAGGAGCAGTGCAGCCTCTGGGGCAGCTCAGAGCCTGGCAGAGTGTGGGAGATGCCCTGTGAAGCTCCCATCAGTGGTGCTCCAAGGGGTCATCCAGCTCCCTGAGAGCTGCCCCAGCTCTGCGACCACTGGAGCTCCAACTTCCCAGCTTTGCCTCTAACGGAGCATCCTCAGTGGTGCAGAGGGAGCAGGGATTGAGCCAGGCTGCTGGCTGTACCAGAGCCTGTGCTGTGCCTTCCCAGGTGTCTCCTTGCTCGTCAGGATGTTCCAAGGAGGTATCAGCTTCCCTGGAAACCCAGCAGTCTCTCCACACCGCTGCCTTGGCTGTTGTGCAGCTCACGGAGCTTGGAGGTGAGGGAAGGACACTTTCCCTTGGGTAACACCTACAGACAGGTAGGGAGCTCTGGGGGTCCAGCCCTCCTTTTGTACAGAGGGATCAGCCATTGCTGTCCTGAGGTTTCCCAGGTATGGACAGGGATGTTCAGGGCAGTCCTGGGCTGGGTGTTCAGCCCGTCCCTGTGTCCTGCTCAGTGGGACCTTTGCTAAAACAATCTGGCTTTTTGCTTTAGAGAAATGCTAAAATAAAATCACCCCCTCCAACGGGCAGCGTAACATCCCCAGTGGTGTGGGAGGATTTCTGTGCCTGGGGGTTCTGGCCAGGTTTTCCTTCCCACCCTGTGTCTGGGGTGTGGAACTGCCTGACCTTCAGGCTGTGCTCTGCTGGGTCAAAGCATCAAACAAAGGTGCCCAGGTTCCAAAACATGCTGAAACAGCAGGAGCATGCAAATAGCTCTCGGAAAACTGGCAGGAGTGTAGGGCCAGAGGTGCACAGAGGTTGACACAGGGTTGGGGCTGCAGCAGGGAGGGTTCGTGTCACTCGGTGCAGAAATCAGCCAATGCACCAGCCTCCCCCACCTCCCTCCTTCTCCTTTTTGGGTGGAATTCTGCTAACTCTAATTATCCAGCTCACAGGGACCTTTGCAAACAATGCTCCAGACTGGCAGGACTTGGAGCATAATTTGGCATGACAGGGTCCCTCATTAGCACCGTGGGGCGCCGGGGCTGTGCTCCGGCGAGCTGAGCACGGAGCAGTCCTGGCTGGAGGGTTGCAGCTGCACGTGTGGATTTAATGAAGGAAGAGGAAAAAGTCCAGAGGTGCAGTGGCAGGTGGAGTGGTCAGGGTCTGGGAGGACAGCATGGAGCTGCTCCCAGGATGTCTCTGCGTTGGAAGACCTCAGTATGGCTCCGGTGTGGGTGGTGGCCCGTGCCCACATGTGCCCATGGGGAGGGACATTGGCCCACACAGAGGACATATCATCTCTTGCCACCCTGGTTACAACTGAGTTTGATCTTCTGAGAGATTTGGGCACTTGGCAGTTACCTCGGGTCCCAGCCCAGACCTGAAAGGCAAACACGCCCAAAAAACCTTAGCGAAAAATCCCACAAAATTCCAAACGGAACGTAGCAGGAGGGAGAATATTGATACCTTCAATCAAAATTAAGTGCTTTGACGTGCCAGAACACCACTCTTCATTTCACACTGACACTCCAGGCTGAAAAATTTCGAGTCAGACCAAACATTTGTAGCTGGAATCTCACGACGCTGGGGGTTGATAACTGTCAAAACAGCAGTTTTCTGCGGAGATGTGTTTTCTGATGGGAGTTTGGGCACGAGTGGGAGCTCTGAGTGCCTGTTCCAGGGTGGAGCACCGGGATGGCACCTCTCAGTCTCGTGCTCCCCTGAGCTCTCCCAGTGCTCTCCCGGCCGCCAGAGCGGCTCCTTCCTCTCGGCACGGCGGCTTCCCTTTGGAATGTGCTGTGGACAGTGCAGGCTGCATTATTGATAACGTGATTTATTTATGCTTCCTTGGCTATAACAAACAGCTCAGCCTTCCCGAGCTATATATAGTTTTTGCTCTGGGAAGCTGTCCCTGCGCTGTGTGGGGTGGGAGCAGCCAGAGGGGTGCTTGTTTTTCGGTCCAGCTGAGAGGTTTAGGGATATCCCCTGCAGACACCACATGGCCTGGAGGGTCCCACTGGCAGGAGCTGGGGCCAGGCTCTCCAGAGGGGCCCTGGCGTGTGCTGTGGGGCTCAGGGCCGTGCTCTCTGCATGAATGAGCAGCCAGAGCTGGAGCAGGAGAGCCAGGAGAGCGGGATCTCTTGATGTGAGCCCGCCTGCTTTGCTGAAAGGCACGTGGGGTGTTCATCGGGGACTCGCTGTCCCAAGAAATGCAGGGGCTGGCTGGCTGGCCATCACATCTGGGCTGCCAGATGTGCCCCACGGTGGGGCAGGACAGCTGTGTGCACGTCCCAGCTGGGGCACAGCTCCTCCCTGGTGCAGCGTGGCCGAGGGGGTGCCCACAGGGTGGGAGGACACAAGCCTGCTCCCACCTGGATGCAGCGGAGCTGCCTCTGGATTCACGTGGAGGGCTGAGCAGCAACAGGAGAGCTGTTTACTTTGTCACTGTGCAAACAGTGCAGGCTTTAAGCTGGCATCAATATTTACACAGTGGGCTGATGTGTCTCCAAAGGAACTCCAGCAGTGCTGGCTGTTGTGTGATCCCCCTCTGAGAAGCCTCATGCAGAGAAGACTCTGCTGGAGCGCCAGAGATCACCTAAATATGGGTTTACCCGAGGGAGTCTCACAGACTCATCACATCACCTCAAGGTTTCCTTGTGCATTGTGCCATCCTGGCATCATTCTGGCAATGGAGGGGCTGGAGCAGGATCAGTCCCTTGTCACCCAGTGGGCAGGGATGGAGCCAGGACAATGAGCAAGATGCTCCCAGCCACTCTCCAGTTTGCTCCTGGCCAAGCTGACCATCCTACAGCATTAATTAGGAGAATTTCCTTACCTCTAAATTCTTTTTTAGCATAAAATATGTGTTTTTGTCAAGATACATTTCCTTTTTTTTTTCCTGGGCAAATGTCAGCATTTTTGATGACATTTTCTGATTTTTTTTTTTCCAGATGGGAGAATCAAAGTGGAAAATACCACTTTAAATCAACAATTTAGAATGAAGCATTTTTTCATTTTGAAATGTCAGTTTAAAACAGGACAATTCATTCTGAAATGCTGCAAAACAGGCAGTGCCCTTTTTACCGCCTCGAATCACTTTGTTTTGATTAAAAATGTCAGCGCTTTGTGCTCTGGCTCTTCATTAGAGCCACTGTTTCACTGCATCGTGGTCCAGAGTGGACAGAAATCTAGAAAGATGGCTGAAAAATGAAGATTTCTTCCCTCAGAGGTGTGGGTTTGTCTGCTGCCCTGCTGGGTCCCTGCGCTGCCCGTGGAGGGGACGGTGGGTGCGAGGTTGGCACACAGGGCTGGTGCTGGCAGCTCTCCCCAGCCCGAGCATCATCACTTATATGTCCTCTCGTTACTAAGTTATGATCCAGCACTAAAGTTTTATGGAGGGACTCAGTTTGCTCTGGACCTGGTTAGACCCCAGCAGGTGACAAGCGAGGCCACGAGGTCACCACGTCACTTGGCAGGCGCCGAGCGGTGATGTCGCTGTGGAGTGCTTGTGCTTGTGGAGCCCCGGAGCTGTTCCCACCTGCAGGGCTGTGGCTGTAAATAGTGCAGAAAACATATTTAGAGCAGTCGACAGTAAAATACCAACTCTTTGGGGATTTACATTTTTCCCTGGGGGCTCCAGATGATGTAAAACTCGGCTCCTTCCCGGCACACCCCGTGTGGGGTGGGAGGAGTGGGGGATGTGTGCGGCGCCCTGACGTGCACTGAGGTGCCAAGAGAGGTTCTTGGTGTGTCCAGAGGTAATGGATGCAGTGTGAGTGTGTGGTTGCATGAACTTGGCAGCTGTGCTGAGAGGAGAAGCAGCCCCAGAAGAAGGAGGTGTGCTGGGAGAGGAGAACACTGGGCTGCAGGTTCTGGAGCTGCCATGGGCTGTGTGTATCCAACCCGCCATCAGCTGCCCTGTTCCTCAGATCCCTGTGTGCTG